TTTCCTCTATTGCTTGGGTTCTCCCTGCTCTTCACAGTTTACCTTTCTCCCACTGGCCCTGGGCAGCATTGCAGCAGAGCCTGGCTCTTCTACCAGGAAGCCCCAAAGCCCTTTATTTTTAGATAACACCCTAAGACTGCCTGCCTTCCCTACAACTCCACCTGGCCTGCTGATTACAGGAAGAATAGATATTTGTCCAGGTTTTAAAATAGCTGTATGAAATGAGATGATTACAACTTGAAATATATTCTGGGATTTTCAAATACATCAGAACATACACTAGCCATTGGCTGATAAACTTTGGGCAAGCTCCTTTGCCTGTCTCTGTTCTGACTTCCTAGTCTATAAAGTGGGGATAACAGCTACCTTGGAGGGACATTGTAAGAGTAGAGTGTCTGGCACACAGCAAACACCTGAAGATGTTCTTTCCCCTCACCTTTCCCATGGTAAAGTAGTTTGGGGGATTGGACGACTTTCAGTGGTTCCCTGGGCTCCTCTTCTACCGTGGCCTTGGAATGTTTGCTGGTACGACTGGGCAGTGGCCACACCACAATCGAACACTTTCCATGTATTCCAATCCTCATAGCTCCTGGTAAGCTGCTGCTGCCATCTCACCTGTTGTACAAAAGAAACGTTAGACTGAGTGAGACTATGTAACTTCTGTAAGGTTCTAGAGTTAAATCCATGGCTTGGTGGAGTCAAGGACTCCCACGGAAGAAGCTCTATTTGCTTAATTTGACACATCCTTTCCCTACTACCAGGCTGAAAGAATGTAAGAAGGAAGTGCAGAAAATGGAACTGAGGAGAGAAAATATGCAGGTGTGCCTAGGCCACTAATTCCCAGATTCAAAGCATCTACTCTTGGGTATATTGGATTGTCCCGGTCAGCCCTAACCACAGCCTAGAGTCGCCTGAGAGGAGAAGCTTCAGCTGAGGAACTGCCAATGTCAGAGTGACCTGTATGCATGTCTGTGGGTGACTATCTTGATTATAAATTGGTGTAGGAGGACGCAGTCCACTGTGGGTGGTATCTTCCCTAGGCACGTGGTCCTGGGTTCTAGAAGAATGCTAGTTATGCATGAATGAGCAAGGCAGTGAGTGGGCAAGCAGCATCCCAGCAGGCAGGGTTCCTCCATGGTTCTTGTCTCTGGGCTCCTATCTTCAGCTCCTGCTCCGACTCTCCTCAATGATGGTTTGTGACCTGGAAGTATAAGCCAAATAAAGCCCCGTCTGCTCAAGTTGTTTTTGGTCAGAGTGCTTTGTCACAGTAACACAAAAATGACTGGAACATTAGCTTCCTGTCTTAAACACAGCTCTGCAGGGTTGACCCCAGTTCTCCACTGTGGGTCTTTAGCCTCTTTTGTCCTGTTGGCTGTACTGTTGGGGCACCTGGCCCACTGTGGCCAAGCTCTCCCCTGTCCAGCCTGGAGTCTTGGTATCCTGTTTCCCTTCTTACCTCCTGTTCTCCCCTGTGCCTGTCCTGGATAGTCTCTTTTTTGAAAGCTCCCCTTAGGCTGTTCCATGTTTCATCTGTAATCAGTACCTTAGGTCATGACCTCAGGATCTCAGCATAGGAAATGTTCTTGACCAGCCATATGCCCACTCTTTTCAGGCCACTCCTGTGAAATAACCATTCCTCATACCATTCCACGTGCCTAGGATACCAAACCCACACTAACTGCTGGTGGCTCCTGTGTGCCCAGACTCCCTTTCTGTGGCTTGCCAATGGAAACGCCAGCCATCTTCTCCCTCTTTTACCCCACACTAACTCCTGCAGAGATTGTTTACGTACAACATTTTTCTGTTTGGAATGTCCCTCACCCTTCTTCAGTTAAATTTTCTTGAACGTTTATTTGTTTGTTTAGTGTGTGTGTGTGTGTGTGTGTGTGTGTGTGTGTGTGTGTGTGTATGAAGGCCATGGAGTGTGCATGAAGAAGTCAGAGGGCGCCTTGTGGGAGTGGGTCTTGAGAATCAAACTCAGGTCATCAGGGTCGGCAGTAAGCACCTCCACCTATGGATCTACTTTTCCTGTCCCCTGCTGTTTCACTCTGAAGAAAAATTTAACTTTTCTGAGAACCATAGAAGCCTATATTTTTTTAAAACTAGTTGACTTTTAGGAAACCATCTACTCATATCCTCTGAGTGAGTGTTCCCAGACTCCCTCCCTCCAGGTAGCTGATTTCAGTTCTCCTTGGAGACTTTGAGGGCTTGCTCAGCGTGTAGAATTCAGGAATCAGAGGTCCTATCTCATAGCAGCCCCACCCCCAGCACTGGATCATGTGCAGAGAATTTGTTCAATAGATAGTTATTAATTAATGAATCAGCGAGGCAGACAATTATAGAAATTAAGAGGGCTCCATAGGGACTATAGTAATTAGGAAAGACTTCATGAAAAATTGAAATTTGTAGTGGGCCTTAGAGGATGTGTAATTCTGATTTATTTTGGTCAGAAACAAAACTCAATTTGCAGAAGGTTTTTCTTGTGTGGTTTCAAGATACAAGAGGTAGTTAGTGATTGTGATAATATGGCCACTTCTACAACAATTGTTATTTCTCTTTGTTGTTCTATATGAGCGTATATCTAACAGTAGGTTTTCAGTCCACCCTATCCCCTACCCTATATCTGTGCCAACCTGGGCAGGACATTCCTTAGGAATTTTTGTCTGTCTGTCTCTCTTTCTCTCTCTCTCTCTCTGTGTGTGTGTGTGTGTGTGTGTGTATGTGTGTGTGTGTGTGTGTGTGATGTACCTATGTGGTATGTCTGTATACCCATGCATACAAGTGTACAGGCAGAAAGGATGTCAGATGTCCTGCCCCACCCACCCTCCATCTAATTCTCTTAAGACAGAGTCTCTCACTCAACCTACAGCTGGACTGGCAGCCAGCAAGCCACAGTGATCCTCCTGTCTCTGATCCCCACAGTGCTGGAGTTAGAAGTGTTTGCATAGCGTGCCTGGCTTTTTATGTGGATGCTGAGGGTCCACACTCAAGTTTTCATGTTCGCAGAGTAAGTGCTCTGACTCACTTGGTCATCTTCCCAGCCCTTGTCCTGTCCCTAATCCTGAAGTCTGCATCTCACTTTAAACAGGACTAAGCTGTGGATGGAGCACGATACACTTTCTCTCCACTGAGGTCTCGGCTCAGCTGAGGTACTCTTCAGTGTCAAGGCTCTCATACTACGTGTTCGATCTCCAGCACTGCTCAGAGAGAAGAAACTGTGAAAAGCACCAACATTCTGGGCTGGCGAGATGACAAGGCTGCCAGCAAGCCTGATGACCTCAGGGTGATCCCACGAGGTAGGAAGAGAGGACAGACTTCAATACCACAAATGAGCGAATACAATAAGAAACGTCTAAAAAGCAACAATATCACAACACCAACTGTTGTGGAAAAGAATGTGGCAGAGATAATATAGAACAGTTCCAGAGCAGATACAGTCATGGAGTAAGACCAGTACATGAAAATCTGTGAAAAGATCCAAGTTGAAGAGTTAACGAGCAAATACGGTTAAAGTTGTGAGAAAAAAATAGGGAGTGAAAACACAAACAAAGCAAAATAACTTTCAAAGTCAAAAACTCTTCCTTGCTTCGTGAATCTTCTTCCTGGCTTCTAGTTGTGCAGCCTTCGGTGTGTGAGGGAGAGGATCAGGACTGCTTCAGGCTGTATTCCTTCTCTCTCGTAGTCCAGCAGGTCAGACCAGACAGGCCAGTGTGGAGGCTGCACCTGCCTGTTTGCCAGCTGGTAGGATAGGGACAAGGGCTCCTGCAGCTCTGTTCACACTACAGCCTGTATGTGTATAGATCAGGGCATGTGGAGCCAGAGGAGCTGCCCGTGAGCTTTTCTCCCCGGCTGGGTTTGTGGGCTGCTCTAAGAGGGCTCCTCATGCCTGAGATGGTCTGTCAGTACACCCACAGGTGTGTGGAGAGTACCCTCTAGATATCTGAGCCAGTGAGCATGGAGGAGGGGCCTAAATCAAGGTGATTGGTACAGGGGAGGGGAGGGATCAATATGGTGGCTCCAACCACACCTGTCTCCCCTTCCCACAGGAATCCACATAACTGTTCTCTGGAAAGGAGTCCCAAGTCTGTGGGTTTCACATGTCATGTCAGGATACTTGTCCCAGATGAGGGCGAAGGTAATAAAGGACTTCAGTCAGCATAGCTCTGTTGAGAAGATGGGCAGAATGAGGCATCTCAATCCATCATCCTGTAGGTACTGACACGAGCTTTCGGTTCACGGGGGAAGAAGTGGGGCTCAGGGGACCAGCAGTCTCCGTCTTCGTGCAGTCTGCTACGTCCTTATCTCAGCTCTGCCTCTCCAAGGAGGTTTGGAGGTACCCTTTTCACTGGATGAGACTATTTGGTTCCCTTGAAATGACTGCTCCCGCATTGGGGTTGAGCTCCCTGTATTGTCTGTCTTCAAGATTCTGCTGTTCCTGGAACCCAAGGAGACCACAAGTTTCAGACAATGACAGGCATGCTTAGACGCTTTGGGGAGTCTGGACAAGCACACTGTCAACCTGCAGCAAGACACCTAGTTACTCTTTGCACCTTCAACTGTGAAGGGGAATCACATGGATCAGAACTAACGGTGTTTTTGTTTGTTGGGTTCAGTTTTTGACACAGAGTCTCAGGTAACCCAGGCTGGCCTTGAACTTGAAATGTAGCCAAGTACGGCTTTGAACTCCTGATCATCCTGCTTCCACCTCCCAAGTGCTGGGATTATAGGCATGCACCATTATGCTCAATTTATGTGGTTCCAAGGGTTAAGCCCAAGGCTCCAAGTATGCTAGGCGAACGCTCTACCTACTAAGCTACATCCTCAAACCTTTAGACAGACACTCCTTGAGTTACCATGGTACATCCTGTGTTTGCTTATTTTGTGGGTCCAACTGAGGCACAAGAGCCTTTTAGTAAAAGCAGTTGTGGTAATTGCCTGTCCTCAGAGGCTGGACCTTTGATTTTAAACAAAAGTGCCTCTCACCTCTCTTTACATTTCAGACTGCATTTCTCATCCTGCAGATGATCCTACAAAATTTGTGTCCAAGTTGTAATCAGTTTCCAGAACCCACACTGTCTCTCAGAAGTGGTCACCCACCGAGTCAATGAAGAGAAGAGGCCACTGGAACTGGGAGATACAAAAATTCAGGAGCCGATGACCTCAGGCAGCCCAGCCAGAGGACTTCACGCTGAAGACTGGTTTCTGTTAGAACATTGGCACCATGTGATGAAGCCAGAGGCACAGGACTCGAGGATGCAGAGGTTTGTAGGGTGCGGGATGCTTGCTCTTGAACTTACCAATGAGTCCCTTTCCTTTATGTGTGGTAAAGTTCACCTCCTCTGAGGTGGATCCTCTTTCTGATGGCTCACCATAACTAATAAATTCACTTTTCCCTATAATGTCACCAAGCACACGGCCTTAGTGCTCTCTATTTCTCTTATCATCTGTTCTGGGTTTTAGCCCATCACTCACTCTACCACTGCATCCCAGTACCTTCTAGGGTATCCTACTTCAGCTACATACTTGCTTTGGTTAAATCTCGTCGAGGCCCAGAAGGAGTTAGGTGTTCATCACCATTTTCCATCTCAAGATTAATTTTTTGAGAATATGGGGGATTCTCTCTCTTAAAAAATTTCTCTGTCTCTGTCTGTCTCTGTCTTTGTCTCTCTGTCTCTTTCCCTGTCTCTGTGTGTGTGTGTGTGTGTGTGTGTGTGTGTGTGTGTGTGTGTGTGTGTGTGTCTGCCTGTAGGCCAAAAGACAACTGGCAGGAGTCAGTTCTCTCCTTCCACCGTGTGGGTACTGGAGATGGAACTCAGAATGTTAAGTTTGGTGGCAGGCCCCTTGACACATGGAATCATCTTGCCAGTCCCTCAAGATGCTATTTTGAGCAGCACATAGTTTTACAGTTGCTCAGGCTTTGCTTGAGTTTGGGTGTGTTTCATCACAATAAGTTTTTGCACACATCCAACTCTTTATCCTTGCTGGATGTCAGAAACCTTAGTCATCCAAAGTTTTACTTAGGGATATATGCATCTCTTTCAAATTATGTATTTAAGACATATTGATTGTATGACTTAATGGGAATCGCTGTGACATTTCCACACATGCAAATACCATGTGTTGCTTGGTGTCTCTTCTACTTTCAGGTCATCAAAAACCTTTTCCTTCCTCACGTAAGTCACCTGATTCCTTCTGAGTCTGCTTATTTTGCTCAGCAAACCCTTCAGTTCTTTCCATTTTCCTGCAAACAACAGGGTTTCATTCTCCTTTATGGTTGACTGTCTCTATTTTGTATCTGTGCCATATTTTCATTAACCACTCATTTCTTGATGGGCATCTAGGCTGATTCCTTATCTTAGATGTTGAGAATGGTGCCATAATAAACATGGATGTGCAGGTATCTCTGCTGTGTGCTGACTTTAATTCTTTCACAATACACCCAGGGGAAGGATAGCTGGATGAAACAGTAGTATGTTTTATATTTTATTTTTTTCATTTCCATAGAGGCTGAATAGTTGATGTTCTTTTTTCTCCTCATAGTCCTTATCAGCAAATAATCACTATATTTATTTATTTATTGTTTGTTTGTTTGCTTGTTTGTTTGGGGGGTTGTTGTATGTGTATTTAATAACAGTCATCTAGCTGGAGTGAGATGGGCCCTGAGTCAGCTCTGATTTGCATTTAATACATCTATTTAATGTTGCCCTAGTCTGTGTTCCCTTCTCGTCTCTCAGCAAGGCCCCCTTTCTCAGGGAACATTAAGTTCAAAGCCAGCACAGACTGTGCACACATACACCACAGACTTCCTAAGGAAAGTCTAACCCTTCTCATATTGTTCATTTGGTTGATAACAAAACTGAACAAACCAACAAGAAGCCATCTGGCTAAACTCAGAGTATCTTCTAAAAATACAGTCTGACGGTAGTCCCCAGATCTATGGAGTTTTGGACAGGGACACCAAAAGACCTGCCTTTTCCTCTGCCACTCACTGTGACCTTGAGTAAACTCTTTTACTTCTCCGCGCCTTCATTTCTTCAAGTGGTTGAGAATATAGACTTTGTCTCTATTGTTATAAGTCTTAGGCAAGGCTACGCTGTCCGTTCTGAAGGTAGGTATGTTTGTGTCTTCAATACCTGGCCTTCTGTGCTGACAGTACCAGGAGCTGAAAACACCAGGGCCAGCAAAGTGTGGTTCCATTCCCATCACTTCCTTCCACATTGTCCCTTCTTTGCTTTTTCTTGTCTCCTTTGCTTTTCTCCATGAGATCTTGGTCTCTTTTGGGGTGACATACCAACTTACCACAGACTTGGTGTTTTATAAACAGAGAACTGTATTTCCCATAGTCCTGGTGGGGCCCATTTTTAGGTTCACAGACAACCAACTTCTCTCTGAGTTCACCCACGACAGAAGAAGTGAGGGAGTTCTCGGGGTATCTCATGTAAGGATCCTAATCTCATTCATCAAGGCTCCATCCTTCTATGTAATTGCCTCCCAAAGGCCCTGCCTCCAAATACCAGAAGGACATTGGGGGTTAGGGTTCGAATCACCACAGAAGAGTCATTCAACAGATAAAGCATGTGAAGACCCCGGTCATCATTGTAAGGAGGGGCAGCCCCTCAGAGTCAGTACAGGCCTCATTCGACGCCCAGTTCTCATCAGAAAGGAGATTTATTACCCTGGAGGGGAAAGCGGGGGTGGGGGTGGGGGCTGTCTCTGGAGCGAGCCGAGGCAGCAAGCAGCAAATGGGTGTCTTTTGCATGAGTGGATTTTTAAGGAGAAGAGGGGGAGTCTGTGCTAGGGTGAGCTGGTAAATCCTGACAGGACATACTAGTCAAATAATGGATTTTGATGGTTGGACCTTGACATTTTGTCTCAGGAATGAGTCAGTGGCCAAATAAGGGAATGGACCTTAGGGGCTAGCTTTAGGAATGCCATCTAATGGTTTTTAGCAGGGGAGAGGGAAAAGGGGGGAAGGGCAAAAACTGTTGGCGTCATGTTTGTTTGCCATGCTTGCTAGAGCCTTTCAACGTATGCTTCAAACCTTAAGTGTCGTACGACTAGCCTCGCTTCCCGTTCACTAGTAGATATGGATACCACATACCCATTACAAAAACAGATGGCTTGCTTTTGTATACATGGTGCTAGGGAATCAAGCCACATCCTCATGCAAATAACATATTCTGCCACCAGGCCACACGCGCAATCCTAAAATGACCTGGGAGCACTGAGCATGTGATGTGCATGGAGCTAGGTATTTTGCCTTGTTTAACTCTTAAAACAATCCCATGGGATAAGTGTGGTAGCTGTTCCTGTCTTGTGGGACGATGTGACTCTGAGTAATGACCTACAAAAGGCTTTGCAGTTAGAGTACAACAATGCAGCACCCCACCCCAGGCGGGCAGAGCTCTGAAGTGCACAGCCGTAAGCAACGTGAGGTGTTCCATTAGATCTGTCTTCAAGATGGCGGCCATCAATCATATCCAGTCAGCCTGAGCGGATAAGAGAGGACCCCAGGCCTCTAACCTAACATGATAAGACGATTTCAGGTTAGGTAGAAGGAAGAAGTAAAGAAGAGACGCTATTCAAGGCTCCCAGAGCAGAGCTTCTCCTGTCTGGGGTCATTTGAGGAGAAATAATTGACTTCTTTGTTCCGCTGAGGGCCAGAGTTGAGCTGGGAAGATGACTCCATCTCCCTCTCCTCACCTAAACTTCCAGGTTCCTTCGGTTTGAAAGCCACTGAAGTGAATGTAAAAGGCAGCAAGAGCCCGAGGCCTTGGCACATCGGCACATCCTGCAAACGTCAGCACGGTCTTATCTAGAACACAGCTGAGGAAGCAGTTTCCCCGAGCATGGCTCTGGGCTGGGAGACGGCCTGCTCATTTTCTGTCTTTTGTTTTTCTCCCGTTTTCCCACAGGGCTCAAGGATCCAGTGCTGGTGACATCTCTGAGCCAAAGGGGGGATGCTGCCTGGTAGGAGGAAGGAGGGCTAGGTCTGGTCATGTTCCCTGCCCTGGAACATTCCCTTCTCCATTTGGAAGCCTCCTAACCTGAAGCACAAATGAGACCCCCTGGGATCCCAAAATAGCTCCCCTCACAGCTGCACAGCATCCTTTTATAGCCCTGTCTGTCTGTAGCATTGGCCTTCCCTTGACAGGCACTCCTGAGGTCAGTGCTGCCGAGCGCCGGGCTCAATGTCATTTGAGTGCAGAAACCTTCATAAAAGGCCTATTATGGTGGTGTCACTGTCTTTAGGACTTGCCACAAACCTCAGAGATTTTAAAGGGCCAAATTTGTTTTGATTCAGAGCCAGAACACTTTATGTCCAAGAATAACCTAGAAGTTGGTCAGCCCCCCGGTCCTACACCCAGCACAACGTGAGAACGATATGTTTAGGAGCAATAAAACACTACGTACTGATTTCTCTCCAGGCTGAGAAAACTGTGTTCCTCCAAGGAAGATTCACTATCCCACTTTATGTAAATAAAGTTCTCTTCTTAGTGATAGGAATTGGAGTCATTCATTCATTCATTTATTCATTCAACCTATCCTTGCTGTTCATCCTGAATGTTCTGTTACAAAGCAAAGAAACACGTGGACCTGGCCAGTTAGTCTATACTTCCTTCTCAAACTGCACCTGACCCACTTTCCAACACACAGCCAACTTCTAGACAGGGCCTGAAATATCCATTAGAGGCTCTCAGGCCTGAGTAGAGTCACCAAGACAGATGGAACCCTGGTGACCTGTCACATTCTGGTGAGCCTACTTCTGCTGTCTGAAAGGGTCACCGGCACTTGTTTTTGTGACATAAATAATACACACACACACACACACACACACACACACACACACACACACACATATATATATATATATATATAATTATTTTTTATTTTACTTCATGTGTATGGGTGTTTTGTCTGTATGTGTCTGTGAACCACGTGTGTGCTCAGTGCCTGCCAGAAGACAGCATCAGATCCCCTGGAACTGGAGTTACAGACAGTTGTGAGCTGCCATGACACAAATATCTTTTGTAAAAGCGAGCTCAGGATGCCTGTGAAATGTGCCCTGAGTAGTTTTTCTCAGGGTTTTATTTTATTTATGTGTTTGTGTTTGTGCCTGCCTGTGTATATGTGCCTCTGTGTGTGCATGCCTGAGGAGGCCAGAAGAAGGCACGGGGTCCCTTGGAGCTGGAGTTATGAGCATTTGTTAAGTCATTGGAACTGATTGCTGGGCTCAAACTCTAGTCCCCAGGATTGAAAGCAAGTGCTCTTAACCGCTGAACCATGTGTCCCACCCCCACCCCCACCCCCCGCCCCCAAGCAGCTTTCTGAAGCCAGGGCACTCTTTCTAAAGTTACTGAGAGGATCTACACTCTTAAGTCTTTGAGGATCCAGAGTGAAGTCCCGGAGCAGTCTAGAGCATGCCTGGCGTGTCTGCCATGCCTAGGTATCAGCAGTCTTCAAGCCAGGCAGTCAGGAATCGGTGTGTCCTGGCATTTGAACTGCCGCTCTGTGGTAGGTGTATGACTCCTGAATACGCTTCTTCATTTCCTGAAAGCTACTGCAACTGTCTGCGCAGTCGGAACAGTAACTGTGCGTTGACACGAGAAGCTCATGCCCTATGACATGGCACACATCATTCCCTCTGGTTGACTACTACCATCATTTTGACTCCAAGTCCAATCTCTTTCCATCTTGTTTTATAGCCAATGTTTCAAACACATGAGATAGTCTTCATAATGGGATAAAATGCCCCCCTTCCCTTTTCTCGTTATTCAGAATCTCTTTCATACCATGGAATTCTTGTCATTGTGATTGTCAGTACAGACATGTGGCACTGTGTGCCAGCATGATTAATGCAGGCTGCCGTAGAAAGGAAAAACAAAACAAACAACCCACGGAACTAGATATGGTGATTGCACACAGGAGTCCTTGGCAAGAGAACTGCTGTTAGCTCTAGGCAAGTATTGTCTACAGAGTGAGCTCTACACCAGCCTGGGAGACCTTGTCAAAAGAGAAAGAGTGGGAGCAGGAAGGAGGGGAGGAAAAAAGAAAAGGAAGGAAAAAAAAGCCAGGCAAACTCACATGATTATGAAATAAAATGTTTTGTTTTGTTTTTCTTTTTCTGTAAAAGAAGTTGATTTATTTTGGGGCCTCTGAAGTCTCACTCTGCCAAGTAGGACCCTAAGCACAGCCAGTTCAGGGCAGGAATGGGTTTGAGCCCCAGTTGAGTGAAGAAGGAGAGTCAGGGTGGAGAGCAGGGCTCTGGTCCTCAGGCGTCACCCAGCAGCCCTTTCTGCATCTGCTGTGAGGTTTTGTTTCCTCTGGGATTTCAGAGGGGCGTCTGAGGATGAGGGGTCGTTTAGGACTCCTCATGTTTGACACTTCCTCAGTCCCTTCAAACCGGGTGGGCCAGTAAGAACAGGTGGACAAGGCTAGTTTGATTTGTATGTGTCTAAACGAACTTCTATTTGAAATAAACTCAGTTTGACCCTTTTCCTTAAACCCATGAAAATTTTCATAAAAGAAACGCATAAATACTATGATTATTCGTGGCTACAATTTTAGAATTTATGTAAGTTTTTATTTTCTTTCTTCCTTTCTTCCTTATTTATTTATTTTTACATCTCGACCACAATTTCCCCTCCCTCCTCTCCTCCCAGCCCCTCTCCTCTACCTTCCCTCTGTTTCTCCTATACATCCCTCCTCCATTTCTATTCAGAAAAGGGCAGGCCTCCCATGGATATCAGCAAAACATGGTATATGAAGTTGCAGTAAGACTAAGCACCTCCCCTTGTATTAAGGCTGGACAAGGTGACCCAGTAGGAAAGAAGGGTCCCAAAAGCTGGGAAAAGAGTCGGAGACAGCCCCTGTTCCCACTGTTAGGAGGCCCATAAGAAGACCAAGCTACATCCCAGCACTCGGGAGGCAGAGGCAGGTGGATCTCTGTGAGTTCGAGGCCAGCCTGGGCTACCAAGTGAGTTCCAGGAAAGGCACAAAGCTACACAGAGAAACCCTGTCTCGAAAAACCAAAAAAAAAAAAAAAAAAAAAGAAGAAGACCAAGCTACACAACTGTGATATATACACAGAGGGCCTAGTTCAGTCCCATGAAGGCTCCTTGATTATCAGTTCAGTCTCTGTGAGCCTCTATGAACCCAGATTAGTTGATTTGTGTGTTTTCTTGTGGTGTGCTTGACCCCTCTGGCCCCTACGAGCCTCCCTCCGCATCTTCTGCAGGATTCCCCAAGCTCTGCCTAATGTCTGGCTGTGGGTCTCTGCATCTGTTTTCATCAGTTGCTGGATGAAGCCTCTCTGATGACAATTGGCTTAGGACCAATCTCAAAACACCTTGTGGGAGGACAAATTGTAGGTTGAAGGTTATGTTGGCTGGGTTGTTGTCTCAATCCCTCCACGGGAAGTCTTGCCTGGTCTCATGAGATGGCCAGTTTAGGCTATGAATCCCCTATTGCTAGAAGTCTTAGCTGGGATCATCCTTGTAGATTCCTGGGAGTTTTCCTCTGACCGGGTTTCTACTCCACTCCAAAGTGCCCTCCCCATTTCCCAGTCTTCTCTTTCAGTAGTCTCTCTCCCGGACCCCAACTTGATTCTTCATGCTCCCATCTCCACCCTCCCCTAGACTACCCATGAAATCTATTCTATTTCCCCTCCCCACGGAGGGCCAAGTGTCCTCCCCTGTCCCTCCCCCCACCTTGAGCCCTCCTTGTTAACTAGCCTCTCTGGGGCTGTGGATTACAACATGGTTATTATTTTCTTTACAGCTAATATCCACTTATAAATGAGTACATACCATGTTTGTTTTCAGGGTCTGGGTTATTCAGGATGATTTTATCTAGTTCCATCTATTTGCCTGCACATTTTATGATGTCATTGTCTTTAATAGCTGAGTAATATTCCATTGTGTAAATGTACCACATTTTCTTTATCCATTCATAGCTTGAGGGTTATCTAGGTTCTGGCTATTATTAATAAAGCTACTATGAACATAGTTAAGCAAGTGTTCTTGTGGTATGATTAAGCATCCTTTGGGTATATGCCCAAGAGTGGTATAGTTGGGTTTTGAGGTAGATTGATTCCTAATTTTCTGAGAAACTGCCATACTGATTTCCAAATAACTGCACAAGTTTGCACTCCCACCAGGACTGGAGGAGTGTTCCTCTTGCTCCACATCCTCTCCAGCATGTTTTTGATCTTAGACATTCTGTCAGGTGTAAGATGGAGTCATTTTAATTTGCATTTCCCTGATGGCTAGGGATGTTGAACATTTCTTTAAGTGTTTCTCAGCCATTTGAGATTCCTCTGTTGAGAATTCTCTATTTAGATTTGTATCCCATTTTTTAAGTTGGATTATTTGTTTGTTTGTTTTTTGATGTCTAGTTTCTTGAGTTCTTTATATATTTTGAAAATTAGCTCTCTGTCAGATGTGAGGTTGGCAAAGATTTTTTCCCATTTGTAGGCTACCATTTTTGTTCCATTGATGGTGTCCTTTGCCTTACAGAAGATTTTCAGTTTCATGAGGTCCCATTTATTAACTGTGGATCTTAGTGTCTGCACTATTGATGTTGTGTTCAGGAAGTTGTCTTCTGTGCTAATGCATTCAAGGCTATTCCCCATTTTTTCTTCTATCAGGTTCAGTGTAACTGGATTTATGTTGAGGTCTTTGATCTACTTGGACTTGAGTTTTGTATAAAGTGATGAATATGGATCTATTTGCATTCTCCTACATGCTGACATCCAGTTATACCAGCACCATTTGTTGAAGATGTTTTCTTTTTTTCCATTGTATAATTTTGGCTTCTTTGTTGAAAATCAGGGATCTATAGAGGTGTGGATTTATATCTGGGTGTTCAATTCAATTCAATTCTATTGATCCACCTGTCTGTTTTTATGCTAATACCATGTTTTTTTTTTTTTTTATTACTATACCTCTGTAGTGGAACTTGAAATCAGGGATGATGATACCTCTGGAAGTTTTTTTATTGCACAGGATTGTTTTAGCTATTGTTTTTCCATATGAAGTTGTTCTTTCAAGGTCTATAAAGGTTTGTTAGGATTTTCATGGGATTGTGTTGAATCTGTAGACTGCTTTTGGTAAGATAGCCATTTTTACTATGTTAATCCTACTAATCCATGAGCATGGGAGATCTTTCCATCTTCTGTATCTTCTCCAATTTTGTTCTTCAAAGACTTAGAGTTCTTGTTATACAGGTCTTTCGCTTGCTTGGTTGGAGTTATACCACATTATTTGTGACTTTGGTGAAGGGTGTTGTTTCCCTGATTTCTTTTTCAGCTTGTTTTTTATTTGTATATAGGAAAGCCTCATTTTTTAAAGTTAATCTTTTATCCAGCCACTTTGCTGAAGGTGCTTATCAGTTAAAGGAGTTCTTGGGTAGAATTTTGGGGGTCACTTATGTATGCTATCATATCATCTACAAATAGTGATACTTTGACTTCTTCCTTTCCAATTTGTATCCCATTGATCTCCTTCAGTTGTCTTAATGCTCTAGCTAGAACTTCAGGTACTATATTGAATAGATATGGAGAGTGGACAGCCTTGTCTTGTTCTTGATTTTAGTGGAACTGCTTTGAGTTTCTCTCCATTTAATTTGATGTTGGTTATCAGCTTGCTATATATTGCCTTTATTACATTTAGGTATGTTGCTTGTATCGCTGATCTCTCCAAGACTTTTTTATCATGAATGAGGGTTGGATTTTGTCAAAGCTTTTTCAGCACCTAATGAGACGATCATATTTTTT